CAGAGTACATTGCTGCTGGTAGTTGTTGTGCTCAAATTCTGTGGCTGAAGCAACAACTACTGGACTATGGAGTCAAGACAAAGGAAGTGACAATCTTCTGTGACAATCAAAGTGCTATAGCCATCTCACAAAATCCAGTGCATCATTCTCGCACTAAGCACATTGATGTCAAGCATCACTTCATCAGAGAGCATGTGCAAAAGAAAGTTATCAAAATTGAGTATATCTCAACTGAAGAACAACTGGCGGATATCTTCACCAAACCACTAAGTGAAGCCAAGTTTTCTGATTTGCTTCACAAAATTGGTCTAATTCAACTAGACTGAGTGTGGTACACGTGGCAGTTCATTTTCCACATCTGTCAAAATGATGGGTGGGGACGTGGCCTTGGGAACAGTTAAAAACCCAATCGCCACTGGCCGCATAAATCGCCCACATTAAATCCAATCATCACTATAATCAGACCTCAACTGCCCACTCAGCCCACTCAAATCTTTCATCGTCTTCTTCACGAGAATCTTCTGATAAAATTCTCAAGAACCCTAATTTCTTCAGATCTTCTCAAATTTCTGAGAAAATGAAGATTGTTGGCGCTAATACCCATTTCCAGAAGTTGGAAGCCAAGTGCTCCTCATCAACGTTCTATCAATCCTATCTGAAGATGATTGCTGCTCAAGAACTCTCCGAATTTCTTCATATGGAGATTCGATTCAAGTATGAGAACGAAGTTCTTGAATTCTATAAACACGGAAAGGTCAAGACTGTCAAATCGAAGAAGGACCCACAAAGGACGATTCAACTCATCAATTACACTGTTGGAGGGACAAAAGTGACGCTTTCGCAGAAGAAATTGAGAGAAAAGCTTCACCTTCCCAACTCTGGAGTTGAAATTGGGAGACTTCCACCCAAAAATCTGGATTGGAGCGTTATTGGAATTTATGGGCAAAATCCCTCTGGCCCAGCGAAGAAAGCTCATCTGAACAACGACTACAAGCTTGTCCTTGAACTGATTATCGCATGCCTCGAATGTGGAAGTGGAGGACATGCTGATGACATCACCCAAGAGAGGGCCTTCATCATCAATGCCCTCATTACCAAGTCTAAGGTAAATTGGGCTGCTCATTTCTTCAATTCAATCTCAAAGCACCTGGGAAACCCCAACCAGAAATACCTTTGTCAAGGTCTGTACATTGGACTTATCTTGGAGTCCTTGGGTGCTGCTTCTAAAGGAAAGAAGTATGAAGCCAGATATTGGCTGTACTATCTGTCTTCCAAAGGGGAAAACAGAGCTGGTGCTAGCACAACTGCAGAAGAAAGTTCTTCAGACAATGTTCTTATCATGAGTCTGAACAAATCAGTAAAGAGGAAGCAAGTGGTGTCTCCCTCTCCCAGTACTGAAGCACCACAGAATCTTGCTCCAATAAATCTTGAAGAAGAAGAAGAATCCTCTGAGCAAGAAGAACTACAAAGGAAAAAGAAGAGGAAGATCACCTCTCCCTCAACATCTGGACATGTCAATCCGGATGAGTTGAAGGAGAAAGAACCAACACTTGAAGAACCAACTGAGGAAACATCTGCTCACAACCGGAGTCCTCAACAACTTGAAGAAGAAATTCCTCAACTTTAGAATTCTCCAACTTCCTCACAACCTCAAGTAGATGATGCTGAGAATCAATTCTGGCAGCTCTACTATGACTGGAGAGCTTGGAAAGTTGGAAATTCAGCAGAACAGTTGCTGAGTTGGGACCAGCAATTGAAGAATGAGAAGATCATCAAGAAATGTTTAGGTCTGCCTGTCAACTATTGCTGTGAGCAAATCCTGGATGTTGACTGGGTATGGCAAAGAAATTATGAAGATTTGCATCTGGAACACTTGGTCACCTCACCAATTTCAGAGTTTGAGGTGGATGATGAGGATCCTGCAGTATACAAACCAGTCCTCTCAAAAACCACAGAAGATCAGGTGGTTCTCACTTCTGAAGCACAAGCTAACTTGGAAACAACACCTGAGGATTTCCAAATATTTCCAGAAGCCTCATATGCCTTTGAAGTTGTTCCACCTGAAGCTGAAGTCTCTACACCAAAACAGAACCAGGAAGGATCAAATGAAGAATTCCAGCAACTTCTCCATTCTGAAGCTTTAGAGATTCTCACAAACCCCTGTGAAATCACCAACCCCACTGAAGCAAAGATCCCGGAGGAGTCAACAGAAAATCTAGAGATGTCCAAAATCCCAGAAACAAACGAATCTCAAGAAGAGCAAGCTGTAGAAACCCAGAGAAGTTCTGCAAAAGCTGAGAAGGAAACTCAAATGGCAGAACTGGAGGCCTCCAAATCTCCAGTAGCCATTTTTGAAGGACAGAACGAAGCAGAAGAAAGAGACTCCCTCTCTCGGGATATATCAAATTTTACACTTAGGGAAGCAGAAGAAGAATCTGAAAGGACCCTGAAGATCAATGATGAAGAAGATGTATAAGATGATGCTGAATCTCTTCCTCTGCAACTCTTCCAAAGAACTCTCTCTTCTCATTAGGTAACCAACTTCCATTTACATAGTTCTTCCATTCCTACTTTTCCGGATGAGGTACCGGAAATCTGGACAAAGAAGGTCCAAGGGCTGATTGACTCAGCCCTAGCAACTCAACATGCCTCCTTTAGGCAAGAGATAGAGCAGATGGAGGCCAGGCAAAACAAACTGATTGATAAATCCGAAGAAACACATTGCTCCAATCTTAAGGAGATAAGCAAATCTGTGGATAAGACTCTAGAGATCTTATCTCTATTGAGTAACACTGTGAGCAACACGATGGAGACATATGCATCGGATAGTTATCTCCAACTCAAGGAGGCTAACAACATCAAAGAGCAAGTAGCAAATGTCACAATCAGTCTACAAAAACAAATGTCCATTCTCCAAATGGACATCAGAGCAGCTTTGGCAGTGTCTTCAGCAGATCAAGTAGTAACCAAAGACTACTTGAAAGTAATCATTGACAATCAGAAGGAAGCACACAAATTATTCAGACTTCTTACCACAAATTCTGGAAATCGCAAGATGGAAGTGGTTCTTCAACAACATAGTCCATCCTTGATTCCAGAGCTTCCCATTGCAGTCAAAGAAGGAGAAGTCTCTTACATTCCTACGCATCTAAACTTGACTGATCTAGTCCTTGAAGCTTAGAGAAGCAATCCGGAAAACTCAACACAACGCTTATCCAGCTCCGGATTGGATGGAACAGAGGCTGTAGGAACAATTGCTGCTCACTTCTCAAATGAAATTCAAACAGAGGAGAGACGAAACAACATAAGGCGCATCAAGGAACTATGTGGAAGCATGCAAGGCACCAGGGAGATTGCCGAATCTTCAAGGCGCAAGAAGCACTGAAGGTTTTCTTCATCAAATCAGGGGGAAAGTATGTGAAAACATTAATTTGCTTTGATGAAAACACCTTCTTGTTTAAACATTGCTCTATTGGTTTAAACATTGCCTTAATATTTCTCTTAATTGTGCTCACTATGCTTGATTATACCTAATTCAAGTATGTTTTTGAGTTTTATTCTTAGCGCATACATTGAGGGGGAATGTATTTCAAGGGGAACTTAACCAGTTTTTGGCTAACAATTGTTTTTGGCAATGAATTATTGATAAGCTCTAAGCAATGGAAGACGGATATCTCAGTTTTGGTACTAAAATTGGAAATCTCCGATTCGGGTACTTTACAAAATCTGCCTTCTTAAACTAAGCTTCAGTCCTTAATTCATTTCCAACAAGCTCTAAAAGTACTGGTCCCTAGGATTTTTAAAATGTACAGAAGTTTGGAAAAATAGTACCACTTTTCTTTTAAAAATAAAAATTTATATTTGTTTTGGTACTACCTCGTCCTAAGTAGAAATTAGAACTATAGGGAATGAAAAATGATAGTTTTATTTTGGGCCTTGAGAACCCAAAAGGAATAATTTCCATTTAGTACGTAGCTTTCTTCTCTTTTTGGGCCACTCTTTTGGGCTTAGCCAAACTAAAACAATTATGATTCTCAAACCAAACGAAACTGATTTTCAAATTGGAACGGTTTCAACTCATTGGTAATTGGTAAAAGATTCCTTCCACTTTTCAACTTCTTGGAAGTTGAAACTCTTTTACTCTCACCGTTCCACCTACCAAATTAATGGAACCCGTGAAACTCCCCTCTCTCTACCTCTCTCTTATTTAAATCAAGATATCTCAATCCATTCCTATCACAAACAGCTCTTTCAATATGAAAAGTCTTCAAACTCACCGTCTAAGAAACACACCAAGAAAAATATCCTCAATGGAGAAATTTTTCTTTCTCACCCTCATAGACGGCAATGGAAGAAGACTATTGAGAAGAAAAGACTTTCAAGGTCTATGGTGAGAATCTCGGCAGTAGAGAAGGTCTATGGTGGAAATCTCGTATTTCTCAGTATTACACCATACACCTTCTTTGGAAACACACTCTCTCTATCTTTCTTCTTATTTTGAGAGATGTGTTGCTTCCAAGATCTTAAATATCCACTTTGGATATTAAAGATCTATCAAACGCAACGCCAACCGCTCTGCCAAGAAGAATCTACTGAAGCTGAAAACGGTCAATGGCGGAAGAGATCACAAAATCTCAAGACAAGACTTTGTTTAGGAATTATTGTAATTTGAATTGTATTTGTTTAAGAGTTTTTGTTAACAAGCTGTATATTTTGAGAAACTAAAACAAAGTTACAAAATTAGTTCTCAGTACAGCGACCGGAACTCTTAAACACTTGTTTGTCATCATCAAAAAGGGGGAAATTGTTGGGAAAAATATCATAGATTTTGATGATGATGTATTTAGAATGTAATAGGGTCTTTAGGTTTCCCCAGATATTCAATGTAATTTTTCCTTTTAGAAATATTGTTAAAACCAAGTTCTTGAGATTTCCAATAAAGTGTAGATATTTCTTTAAACGGTTTGATGCTTGAACACTTAATCAAATTCAGAAATTTGGAAATTGGATATCTTGATCGGAAATGTCAAAGACAAGTAAAGATCCTCCTATCCGGAATACTACATGGGAACCGGATGTCTCATTACAACCCGTTGAAGGCTAAGTCGGAAGACTAGCGCGGATTTCCTTCTCACCAGGAAAACTAAGTATGACTCTTCCGGATTTGTGAGCTAAGAACCGGATGCCTCGGGGAAGACCGGAATTCTCAAAAAGCGGACAAGTGAGAAAAGACTTAGAAAATTATCTAAGTCTTGAATGAAGAAATTCTACCCGTTGGTAAGGAAAAGTCAATCTCTTGATTTTCAACGGCTAGATTGAAGATAATTATGCTGATTCAAGAACAAATGACTCGAAGACAAAGTCTGGACCTCTAAGAATTGAAGAACCTATCCAGACTTCCTAAACAAGCACTAGAAGACAAACAGAGTAAAGTTCTACAGTCCAGAATACTTGAACAACAGCTAGAAGACGGACTCTATGGAAAAAGGAATCTCTCCTTTAACAATTGGGTATGTCCAAACACCCATTCCAATGAGGAATCTTCAAATCACAATCTTCATTCAAAATTGAAGCCAGCAAATGCAACGGATAGTCTATTTTAATTCAACGGATAGATTATCCAATCCAGCTATAAATAGCATCCTTGGAAGAATGGAGAAAATATATACAACAACTCATCAACAATAAGAAAAACAACCAAAAAGAGGCTACCTCATTTACAGTTAGCCCAAAAAGCTTGATAAAGAGAGATTTCTAAACTCCTTATCCAGAAGCAAACTTCTCCTCCTTCCAAAAAGCTATAGTGTAAATACTTGTAGGTTTCCTTACCTCAAGTAACACACCACGTTGAAGGATACAAATTTTGATCAAACTTATTGATTAAAAGGGGGTAGGTCAACTTTCTTACAAGTTGGTCTTGCAAGTCCTATTGTTCGGACCTTGCAGTTGTTGAAGAAGCATGACCTTCGAAGGAACAACAAAGCCAGCACGAGTGCAGTAGCAACATTGGCCTTGCGA